CTCTGAGAAACTGCTTGAGAGCGTGCTGCCATTCCATCGCTAAGTCGTTGGGTAACGCCGGGTGTGATGCAGAAGTAAGAAACTGTCGCGGCGGAAGAGCTCCGCGCGCGAAGGAAGGTGCAAAATGCAGCGACAAGTAAGAAATGCAGGAACAGAAGAATAACATTAGAATCATACCAAAAATAATGACGGCACATCGATTGATGTATGTAGAACGCCAGAACTGTAATAACGAGGCATAGGGTCCGCGACTGCCGCGCGCGCGACGGATCGATTAAACAAAACCGTTACTACTGCCCGTCTCTCGGTCACGTTGCACGCGCAGCACGCGACCCACTGCGATTGATATTCGTGCCATTTGTCATGGGCATGCAACTACACTGTGTAGTTTCACGTCAAGACGAATACTTTGTTGTTCTCCCAACCAGAAGTGTTCAAATCTCAATTCCTTCAGTTCTTCCGTTTGTATCCGAGCTCATACTTCAAATATGTTTCCTGTGCTATTATCCTTCAGAATTTCTTTGTGTTTTAAATGCTTATGTAGCTGCGATCAAGACCCTTTCACAACCGCTTTCTGACCGGTGATCAGCGCTTAATTTGAATAATATAAATAGATTTCAATCGTGAGACATTTTTTCTTAGTAACGTTGTCTAGGAAAAATATTGTGCTTGCCAATTTCGCTCTTGACCATTACAGTTGTACATGTACCACTTACTATATAAATATGCTACTTTAACTGCTGCTGTTCGGTCTTAGCATTTATGATTATTGATGATGGTGAAGATGGAGTAAAAGGGCAATTACATTACAATGATGGTCTAGTATGGAAAGGAAGGGAGAGAGATTTTGTCATCAGCATGCCGTTATGATCTTCACAGTGGCCGCTTTCATAGTCCGCCGGCCAGCCCTCGAGCGCACTCGCGGGGGACTACTCGGCCTGCGTTATCGTTCAAGATTCAGTTATAAACAATAGGCAAGCGCCACTCCCGGCCGGCGGACTATGGAAGCAGCCGCTCGCATAACTACAAGGGAAGATTCTGTCATTCATCATTAACAAAATTTCAACAGCACAACCATGATCGAGCTTGCTATAAGAGTGCGAATCCATAGTCGTCAACATATTTTCATTTCATCCACCACAAAACGGATTATTCTGTTAAGCATCGTTGATTTTCTCGAATCGGATGCCGTGTTTCATGTAATATTCGAAAGGAGAGAATATGGCTTTTTTTATCGAGAGCCTGCAGTGTGGAGGCTCTCAATCTCGCAGATGACTCGAGGAAGTCGATTAATCCAGGCGAAAAACTCAAGGATTGGAGGTGGAAAAAAATCTCCTCGTTTAATAACACATCGTATCGAGCAGTATCATCTGCTTGCCGTTCTTCACGTTGGCTTCCACTGCTGCTGATTCAATCGTACTATTAATCATTCGAGCGCGGACTTCACATTAATGAATAGACACTGCATTAACTTCGATTCGTACCACCCCTTCCCATTCCAACTACTTTTCGCCGCTACAACGCCGTACGGCATTTTCCTCATCATGTTTCTGAAATTCTTACTGCATACGTTTTCAGTATACGTGCACACTCAATCTGTTGAGGCCATTGGTGTCTCTTGGATCTCAAAATCCAGCGCTCATGCAGTTTCTTCAGGAACGTTTACTTTTTCGTCCACTCTTCGTACGTCCACTAACAATCTACGATCATCAGCGCCTGAGAACGACCTTACTGAAATCTTCACTACGTTTTACGTAAGGATGTCTTCATCTTTGAATTTGCAGAAATGCTACAAGACGGCTTCTCGCCGCTGTGATTCATCATAGTGCATGTCGATACGACGAAGAAACGGGCGGGATGTTCATGCCCATTCAACTTCGATTGACTGTTTAGCGAATTGTTTTCTTTCGGAAGCATCTTAACTATCCAGCCGACCATCATCAGCTGTTTATCTTGTACCGCGTTTTCCCACGCAAAAATCGTCATCGTTATTTGCCGAGTGAGAGAAACGCAGTTTGTCATCTTTGACTCCGGCTCAAAGTGTTAAGGAACACTAACCTTCCTGATCAACCACACCCACGACATCAAACTATAACATATGTAGAGATGTCGAAGTGGAAGAATCTCTCAATCATCGATTCCCGGTCAAAGTCGATCTTTCGGCCATCACTTCGATCCAAATTTGAGGAAAACACTTCTAAACCCCCAGAAAACAATTTTCAGACTTAAGAAGTCTTGAGGTCTTCGATACTAATCAATTCGTTTTGTGATGTTCCGCACATACGACTTCCATTCGAAATTGTAGTAGCGTATTGAGTGTGTGTTTGATCCATAAATCACTTGCGGTGGTCAGTCGGTGTATAAGTCAGTGATTTCGTCCTCCCAGGCTAGTCTAGTCTGGTACCAGATTACCGACTCTGGCAGATGGAGGGCTGGCTTGGGCTTATATCGGTCCCTGACTCGATCCCTAGAAGACGAAGCCTTGAGATAGCGCTCCGTTTGCCTCTAAATAGCCACCTCCTAGTTTTCAAATTATTTGGAAAAGTTGAGAGGAATACCTCCTTTTCAAAGTAAGCATACTGTTGTATATAGGTTCAAATACATGTTAAAACCCAGTCTTTATGTTCCTTCCTCCTCTCTCCTCTCCCTGGCCCCTTACCTGCCTCCCTCGAACAGGTCTGTTCCCCGAAGTGCAAGGAGACAGACAATGGCATGAAAAAGATCCGATTCACTGATCTAATTGTCATCACACTGCTCCGAAGTCTCTGCGCAAAAAGGACTATTATCGACTGGTTAGTCCATTGGGATGTTAAGTTCAAGTGTTCGGATTAAAGTTCGGCTTACATGGGGGGTTCTATGCAGTGTCTGCCTGTACTCCTTCCACTGTCTTCAGCCTGTATTCATTCATAGTTTTTGAAAAATGACTACAGGTCTGTGATTTGATATTCCACACAAATGATGAATGATTAACGTGATTGTAAAGTGCGATTCATGGTAAGCAGTTGCACTTGGGAAAAAGTGATCTTTCATATCATTTTTATTCATAAATATGACAAAGTGGAACGTTCTCGAATACACTCACTTCTGGACATGAGTATGAAAAAGTGGAACCATGAACAGAGCCAAGCAAACTATTCGTAGCCATCATTCTGTCCATAGAACATAACCAATACTTATGAGCTTCGTCCTTTCTTTTCGTTACTAGTCAACCCAAACCCATTTCGCTTCAGTACCTCTTATTCGATAGAGCTCATGACGGTGCAAGTTTGGGTATGAAGTTTCAGTGCTTTGTTGTCCAAGAGGCTATGGGAACCTTCAGAACGAACTGTTTGGTTTCATGGAGATGACCGAACTTCCTCGAAGATGGGCTATACATGACACTTCCAGTAAGTCCAGTACTGCATGTAGTGAAGTTGGTTCAGCATGCGCTGTGGCTTAATTAGATCTCTGGAATTTCTTTCTCTCTCGAAACATCTCTGGTGGTCCAACCAACATAGGGCTTGATGGAACTTGATCCCTTGAACCTACGGTCCAGGCACGTGCAAACGACGCCATTAATCATTGTTCCATTTCCACAGCTGAGCTTCAGCAAGAAGCAAATCGAGTGAGACAGCAGGTGCCTATTGATCAGATCCAGGACAATAGACCTTGGCAATGGTATCAAGCTCTGGAGACAATGAGACAATGCCACTGACACAGGTGATTGACCAACTTGAAACCTTGATGAAACGGAATATCCAGTCGTATTGAGGTATGCCGTCTTCAGTTTCCCTACAGTCTTTCTGACCCTGCCTAAGATTATTCAAGACTTTAAAAACCTCAAACTCATAGTGACATCATTTACATACCATACTAATTGCTTATCATGATGTCCTAATTAGGTGAACTAGATCACCCCTGGTCAGTTCCGAGAGGTTCAGAGAAGTAACGATCGCTAACCTGTTTCGATTGAACTATTGATAACGTTCTTGATTGATCTGTCTGTCTCAGTTCACCACATAGCTGTTAACGGATAGTGGGTAAAAGTTTTTACTTCCATAATGCTTTGGAGGCACAGTCCACGATAATTTTGAGGTACCCTTTCGAAGGAAACGAGAAAACTCGCTGACTTCGCAAAAAATAGTGCTCCTCAAAAGCAGTGGAAGTAGAGGTTATACGAGATTGCCATGCCGGAAATGGCACGGAAGGGGTATGCGGACGAGTTTCAGGTGTTGCAATCGCACAAAGGACTGATTAAGTGAACCAGATTGTAGAGAAGTGTCTTTCACTGTCGCTACTGGTCATGAGAAGTTGTTTGAACTTCCCACATGGGTTCTCTTGTGAATGGTCTCACGGGTCAATCTTTGATCCTCCATATCGCCCTTTCTAGGCCGTTTTCCGACATGGTAGCACCACCTATGATATACGAAGGGGCCATTGATTCATCCTAGCGGGATATCTCATAAGCCGTTTTTATCATGAACTGTGCCTTCAAAAATTACAAAATATCGGTCAACCAAAGCTTAAAAAGAGATCGCTACTGCACTTTACCTCGGCTATTGGCGCACACACGCTCAGAGAACTTGTCTTAGCACCCAAGAATTCATTACTCTCCGCGAAAAGTTTTTGAGCCGAGTACACCTGTGAAACCGGCAGTAGCTCTCAGTGAGAACTTTTTCATAGTACACTTTGTATTGTATCCATTGCAGTGCGATTGCTCGCATCTCTTTTGCACGATCATTGAAGTGTGAAGCCGAGAAATGGTGTTTTATTCGAATCATCCACCTTGTCGTTATCGTTATTTGTCAAGTCGGGGCCGCCAGTCAGTCCCGCCTTCCGACTGGTATTAAGACTGGTGGCTGCTGCACCGTCTTCACTGAACATTTTTCTATCAACGAGTTTTGCATTGGCTATCAGATCCATCCATCTGCCTCTACGATAGATTTGTCTCTATAGAGCTCCTTCGAAGTTCAATGTGACAGGCATTGTCGTTTTGTCAGCTTCAATTGGTAGTTTTGTAGATGTTGCTGGTCGTGCTACTCGTCGTTTTGGTGCCATCGGTGACAGCACAGTGCTCATTCAGCAAAGGAGACATCAGTGCGCGTTGGCAGGTGAGTGAACCGCTTATTTGCATAGTTTCACCAAGAAATTTCAGTCCAAACAATTGATGTGACGCTAAAAAAAGATTGATATGTTCATTTAAAATACTCATTTTGACTTATTTATTTACGCACACTACTACTCTCTATCAACAGGTTGTGATCTGTGATAATTAAATCCCGAGATCTTGATCCTGATAGTCACCTTCCTGTCTGTGCCTTCATCCTTTACTGGAGCTTTTTGGATGAATGAACTATCCCAAACCACTTGTAGGTCGCAAACGACGAGTTGACCGTGGAATTCGTGAACAAGAAGATCGGCAACAATCAATGGACAGCGATAGGGTTTGGCCCTGGCATGGTGAACAGATTCAAACTTCTGTTTTTTCTGTGATAGCTCGTGGGATACTGAGTCAACAATAGCAAGCTTGTAGAGTTCTTGGACTCAAATATGCTGTGGGCACGTGAGAACTAGTCCTTCGCAATGACGTTGAAGAAAATATTTTAGGAACGCGAGCGCTAGTTCATTAAGGTGATTAGGTTTGGACTAAAGTGTTTTGGCTTTAACCAATCTCTTTGGGGGGAAGCATACCCCTTACAACTTCCATTCAGAATCGTAATGGCGTTTCAGTCGCGCATTTGGTCTGTAAATTGACTTGGGATGGCGAACCGATGTACGCCACACTTCTATAAAACCGGACGAGTCCAACTAATTACCAACAGCGGTAGGACGAAGGGCTTACTTGGCCTGGGGAGGGTATCCGTGGTGTGCTCCACATGCCATTAGATCACCTCCGCCATCGAACATAATCATGTAGGAAAGAAGGGTGCAGAGGGTTCCTTTTGGGCCAAAAAAGGCAGCGTCGTTGATTTGTTGTGAATTGTCTGTGTTTGTTGGTCGTTGACTATCAGGCAATGTCGAATAGACTAAATTGCAAAAAGTTCGGATGACAAGACAAGAATTTCAAGCGATTCGCAATGGTTGTGTGAATGTTTCAGTTTCAATCAGGTTTTCTGGCTTAGCCGAGAAGGCAAAACCCATGCACTAGCTGGATAGAATTGGAACAATTCGCAATTGCCAGGCAGACCTGCGGGGAGTGAGTGGCATTTTCGCGATCAGGCATGGCAGATTAAGAGGGTGGGTTTTCAACGGGTCGACAGATGTCTCCCATGACGGGGAATCGGTGAATTTAGGCTTGCATTAATAGAACTTGCACAGCGTTACCTGATTAACTCTTCAGCAAATTTCGAGCAAAAATGGACTTCATTACATAATGGATGTAGTAAGTTCACTAACGGGGCATGGTGGGATAAAAAAGGGGCCCAAGAAGTGGGAGTGGAAGGGCAAGAAGTAACAAGAGGAAGATTTCGAGGCACAATATTCATTCCACCCCCAGAGACCATATTGTTTAAGAGCAATCTCGAAGTGGTGGTCGTGAAAATTCAAGGCAACAAACCGTCGCTGGTCACCGGTCACACAGATGGCTACGATGCACCAAAACTGGATTCTGCCGCTAACGTCGTACCCAAGCTACTCAGTTTCAATAGTAAGTTCACTACTGGTACTCCGATGCTTTTGAAATTCATGAAAGTAATGCAAAGAGTACGAATTCAGCTAACCAGCTGACTCTTCGCTTCACTCGACCACTGTCATCAAATGGCTCAAGGAAACACTCCCTAGAAAATTGCCAAAAGTGGAATGTAAGCTCTCTCTGTTCCCTTTTTCCTGCATGACATTCCAACTTTCCTATCCCTCTTTTCTCCCGCATGTTTGCCATTTTCAGTTCGTAAAAGAAGGCGCTCTGGAAGACGGTAAAATCGGTTTGCACAAGCAAGCGCCTTCTTCGATGACGGTTTGCCCGAAGGATTGTACGAAGAGTATCATTAATTAACTGTTCAGCAGCCTTGACGACCGTTCCATCAGATGCTTCACCTCTACAAGCTTTTCCAGAGAAAACGACTTGCCAAGCTACGTGTGATAATTATTGGTAATGAGGGTATTAATGAAAGTTTTAACCCAAGTTTTGTGCTACCATACTAGCCCATTTACCGCATGAACTTTGACATTGACCATCATCATTGACTGTACCCATTGCTACCGTATCATGAGTTTTATCGGAAATAGGCTCCAATCATGAAAAAATGAGATGCGAAAAACCGTGTGAACAGATGGAAACGACTTTTCAAAAGCACCAAGAAAAAAGCTTTTAAGACTGAAAATTCCATGCGGTCCTCTAAAAAGTAACCTGCTGTGGAACAAGAGTCAGTCGTTTCGCAGCTGCTTACTTCTCAAACGGTATAGTTATGGCATGATCGATATCGATTGCCATAAAATAAATAATCAGGTGTGTTTTCTGAGTGTAAATGGAGTTTCGGGTGGAAATGAGTTCTGGTCACTAAATGAGGGGTAACATTAATAGGAAAATAGGTGTATAAGCCATGCGGATTAAACCGTGCAGTAATGAAATTCGATTCAATCACACACCGCAATTCACTTCCATCTACGCTTGACGCTCCAAGGATGGAGTACTGGGCAGCACAAGAATGGAGTGAATTAATGACATAAAATCAATCTATGAAGGCCCTAACCTATATCATTTCTCGNCATGCCACCCTTTCCTGTTTCTTCTTCCTTTTCCCGCATGACTACCTTTTCAGTTCGTAAAAGAAGGCGCACTGGAAGATGGTAAAATCGGTTTGCACAAGCAAGCGCCTTCTTCGATGACGGTTTGCCCGAAGGACTGTACGAAGAGCATCATTAACTAACTATTCAGCAGCATTGACGACCGTTCGATCAGATGCTTCACCTCTATAAGCTTTTCCAAAGGAAACGACTTGCCAAGCTACGTGTGATAATTATTGGAAATGAGGGTATTAATGAAAGTTTTAACCCAAGTTTTGTGTTACCATACTAGCCGATTAATCGCATGAACATCATTGATCGTACCCATTGCTACAGTATCATGAATTTTGCCAGAAATAAGCTCAAATCATGAAAAATGAGTAGCGAAAAACCGTGTGAACAGATGGAAACGACTTTTTCAAAAGCACCAAGAAAAAAGCTTTTAAGCCTAAAAATTCCATGCGATCCTCTGAAAAGTAACCTGCTGTGGAACAAAAGTCTATCGTTTCGCGGCTGCTTACTTCTCAAACGGTATAGTTATGGCATGATCGATATCGATTCCATAAAATCGATAATCAGGTGTGTTTTCTGAGTGTAAATGGAGTTTCAGGTGGAAATGATTTCTCGTCACTAAAAGAGGTTTCGATAGAAACCTCATAAAACCTGGAATTTCACTGGACTATATTGGATCTAATACGGTAATAATGGGAAAATAGTTGTACAAGCCATGCGGATTAAACCGTGCAGTAATGAAATCCGATTCAATCATAGCACCGCAATTCACTTCGATCTACGCTTGACGCTCCAAGGGTGGAGTACTGGACAGCACAAGAATGGAGTAATGACATAACATCAATTTATGAAGGCCCTAATTTATATCACTTCTCCTCCCGTTGATCATCGATTTCTTCGAGTGGCAACTGATGATGTCTCGGATCGTCCCTGTCTCTAACTATGTGCTGCAGTTCAAGTAGTCCTCACTGGAACACGAAACAAAAATTATTTAATCTATTTAGAAATTTTGTGAAGAAATTCGGGACCTTTATGGGAATCACCAGATTTACCTGATCTTCGATCCATTAGTGTACGCGACAGCGCCTCTGAAACTTGTTCGTTGAGCGAGCTTTGAAGCATGGCCTCTCTTTGCGCTCTTGCGTCTATATGAACTCCGAACCTTGTCACTTCTTGTCCTGTTGATCCTCAATTTCTTCGATTAGCCACAGATGATATCTTCAGTCGTCCCTGTCCCTGAACACTGCAGTTCTATATGCTCTTAGAAGACCATCAAGCAAAAATAAATCAATCTATCCATAGGTTCGTTAAGAAATCTGACCTGAGACCGCCCCTGGTTCGTTTGACGACTGGAAGGATACAGAATATGAAATTCTTTGCTAGAGGGTAACTACAAGAAGGACTTGATCTTCGATTCCTGGTGTATGCGACAGCGCCTTGAGAGTTGTTCATTGAGCGCACTCTGAAGTCTGGTCTCCCTTGTACTTCATCGTATCAATGAGCTTTGATCGTTGCATTTCCACAGCGCATTGAACGACGCTGTCTGGCCATC